CCTACACCAGCTAATCCTCGTGAACTAGCTGTGGCATCTCCTGACACCCTCAAGGTGAATTTTGAAGATTCATCCTGTTGGCCAGGTGGGGTTAGGTGAATAACCACACTTGGGTCTTGTATGCGTGTTTCTGAAAGACAGCATACATCAATGGCTCGGGATGCCAGAGTCTTGGCTAGTGATGCTTGTTGTCCTATTTGGCAAAGTGTCCTAACAATAAAAGCTCTTATATGAAATTGGTGGCGTGGCTTTAAGAGGCTGTTGGTGGTGGTTTTTTGGCTTCCATCGTTTTTAGTGGATGCAGAGTGGAGAGGAAGTGGAGAGCTATCAAGTCGAGGAGTTGCAGCAGTGGAAGGAAGGCAAGATGATAGAGATGAAGATGAAGACAAAGATGAGAGAGTATTAGAGAGGTTTCGTGTGCATGTCGGATTGTGAGGGCGATTGTTACTTCCCGGCTGTCCACACCGTGGGAGTTTGTTGCGTGACCACAGAGTCCAGGGGACAACTGCTTGAGGCCGGTCACACGCGGCCTGTTTTTGTTTGTCCTTTTTTGTTTGGTGTGTCTCAGTAGCATATTTATCACTTCTGCCCTGTAACACGGCAGCAGGAATCGCGGTCGTTGTTAATCCGGGCCCCAACCGATCCGGCATGATATTTTGTGAATTTGTTTGAATCATAGTATTGGATTGGGTAGTTGCTTTTTGTCTAACCGCTATCCAAACAACCTTTCTGGCATGGTAGGACCTCAAGCGATATAAGTCTCAGCCAGAATAGCTTGTTGGATCATTGTGGTGTTCAAGTCCGACCACCACGTCAAGGTAGTAGCTTTCGGTCGGGACTTTGCATCCCATTAGGTAGAACTAGAAGCAACCATAGAAGACCATATTCTCAGGTGACTAAATACAAAACTCTACAATACCTTATTTAGCACACACTTTATGTGATGAAAAAAGTGTAATTCAGGAAATTACCAACTAACTGTCAAACAATCAGCAAATGGCCCCTTTTTCCATTACTATATTGTTGCTAATATTTTCACTTAATTTAATATTGATATTTAACATTATTGGCCACATAAGTGTCCTGTTTTAATCATTAGCCCTGTAATGAGAAAGCTAGATGCAATACTGTTCTTCATGTTTAAAATTCCATATTTGTACCAAGAATACTGCTTCAAATAAAACGATTATTATTAGCGGTGGAAAACGTACACATACTGACCCCCTAGTTATCTCTTACCAGCGGTCATGGTGTTTGATCTGGTTCTTTGAGAGTGCCTGCAGAAATGTTCTACGCTTATCTGTCTGTTCTATGTCAAAGCTGACTTCACCAAGATGCGACGCGGAACAGCCCACAGACTGGACTATGCTATCATCACAGTAACCTTTCGAAATGATAAATGGATCATTCACACAGCTACCACAAGTGCTTTCCTTCAAGTCATACTACAACTAAGGAAGCAATCTGCTTGGCTGAAGAGAGCCAATTCACAACACCGCGTGACCACTTCGCAATGGTCTACGAGCTCGCCTTGTAACCAGAATGTCCTGGGTTCGAACCCCGGTGGGTGCGTACTGTTGAAGAGTCCCAAACTAGGACGAAACAGTTGTCCAGTACTCCCAGGTTTTCCAGTGGTTCTGTAACTGATGTCAGCTCATGATGAAATCCTCCATGCAATCAAACAAAATCCCTACAAGACAAATACTTGAAGAGAATCATGCAGCGTGTCCCAAAATCAAAGTGGAAAGTTTGGTTTACATAGCGATACTTCATTGTCAGCCTGGCTATGGGGCATAATTGGAACACAAGTACCAATGTAACACAAATGTCATGTGTAACAGGAGGTCATTTCAAGTGAAACTGTCAGGAAACCCATAGCAAACCCAAAGGCCTGTACCGATTCATTTCCGAAAAAATACATACCAACAAAGGAGCCTGAGCCTTAGGAGGTCCAAGCGGCCAATGTCTCACTAGTTTGGAGGTAGCTGAGTTATTCAGTTCCACCCTTGACAGACAACTAAATAACACTGCTGGAATTAACACTATAGGCCATAGAGACTGCACTGTCGATTTGCAAAGAGAAAACTCTGAATTAAATTAACATACTTCATGTATCACGTGGTTTAGAAGGCGTAGATCCTATGTAACAAATATGTTATCACATCGGAATGGTTGGGAATCATGCCTGGATATGAGTGCTCTATTCCGTGTGGTCGCTCTCCGCATTTCGAAGGCATTTAAAACATTTAAGCTTGACCTTCTCCTTGTCAAAATAAATCAGGCCGTTGGCGCTTGCCCACTACCATCATGGCTAGCAGATTGCGTGGATGAAATTGGGTCCTCCACCTAGCTAAATTACATCCGGTCATCCTGGCATTGTTGGGCATCGAGAGTATCATAAGCCTCCATCCTGGGGCTTCTAATACTTTAAATTTTCATCAGTGGCCTAACGCGAGGTCTAAACTGACCGGGGGCTAACTTACGTTGGCGAAAAACGAAATTTGAGAGGAGCAAAATTCTCAGAAGATTCAGGTGTGCTATAGCCAAAACTGGAGATCTCAGAGGGACTGGGTACCAGTCAGTGATATGACTTCAAATGTGGAAAACTTAATAGTGCGAGCACGTACTCCTAGGACACAGAGTGTTAGTTCCTCCCTATGTAACGAAACCTTGTAAAGCGTCGCATTGGGTCACGACAGGTGTATTCGGTTCTCCTGGAAACGAATGTATAAATGCCCAGTGAACAGGCACATCATTCTCTAAATTTCAGCGGAGGTAGATCCTGTGTGACAAATCTAGTATGACATTGGGGATGACTGGACATCATGCTGGGATATAAATGCACCAGTCCATATCAATTTCCTTGACTTCGTGAGGGCATTTAACACAGTCTGGTATGACCTATGCCTACACAAAATGAGTCAGATGGTTATTAGTGGCCCAATACCTTATGACTGGAAGGTTGCGTAGACGGAAGATAATTCAATCCACTAAGGTCAATCGTGCTTCCCTACATAGTTCACCGCCAAGGTATCACAGGTTTCTATCCTAGAGGCAATGGTGTTTCGATATCTATCAAAACTTTCCATGCCGTCTAAATTGCCTGCATTTTTACTCTGATGACGTAAATATCTGCAGAGCAATAAGGTGCTTGGAACACACTGATTGGCTAGGGACAGACCTAAAAACCTAGAAGACTAGGAATTTCAAGTTGAAAAGCACAAAGTGGTGCAGCTACACATCTGTAGTATGCCGAATGGAAGTTACTCCCTGCGTAACTTCAGGTGTAGCATGAATAATACGGGTAATGTGGTAAGATGATATGCCGTTATACTGTACGCATAGACTACATATCTGACAGTTGCCTCCTCTCTCAGAAAATGCCTTCGAGATCTTATGATGTCTCGAGCGTTTATTTTCAGTCCTGTTGTGTGTGGAACGTTGGTTTCCTGTGGAGACGGGTGTGGCGCCATGCCCACTTGGTTCGACCTGTGCAGGTCCACTACTGGACTGTTACGACGTTGGCCTGGTAATAACCAGCTCAGAAGACATGCTCTCGGGGCTCAAGAACCAGTATGCAACATGGTATTGATCCCTCCGGTTTATATCTTCCCCTAGCTGAAGCCCTGATCACTACAGAATATGGTGCAGTAATTCTCTTCTTGAGGCCAGATCGCACTGTCATATTACTAGTTATTATTAATTCTGGTTAGGTGACAATAAAAGAAGTGGAAATAGGGTGTCTGCCCAATAGAGCAAGAACAAAAAGACTGATAAATTATGAGAGGGGTTTCCGACTTCACCTAGAACCTTCAGGTCGACAGCAGTTATGTAGCAGACTAACAAGTCCCGCTTGTCTGGTCGGCTGGGATAGATACTACTGCACTACAGAAGCGGCACCTGAAACTTTGGGTGACAATCGGACATATCACACAGAGATTCATTGTACAAGTAATGGTTTAACCAGGTTTACTGGCTAGAAAGATAAGGTTTCCCAAGCAGATAATACACAAAGTAGGTTTCTTCCGCGGAAGGCACATCCAATGTTTTGGAAAGAGTCAAAAGACGGGCGATGAGAGGCTGAAGAAATTAACTCTTTCAAGTTATCTACAAGGTCAAAGAAAGCCTCCCGAAGACAGCAAGCTTGCGTATATTTCTCGTTGCCTAGGCCTTAGCGATCCGGATAGAAAACTTTGACTTATGTACACAGAGAAAACTTTTTCACTCTCTCCTTCTATCTTGGGTGTAATTCCAAGTTTTACAAATTTGCTAACAATGCTTTTTGAATTTTTGTGTGACTCACATGAAAAGATGGATGGCTTTTATTCAACGAATATTAAATATAGTGATGATAGAGTATCTGAATATTTCTGATGAGCAGCACTGGTCTCGCCTTCCTGTATCCATCTTTGTGAGGTAACTCTCACAGACGGAACATTTCTGAAGTTCACACATTTCGCTCACATATTATGTACTTATTTGAGAAATCGGCAAAGTACAGCTGAAGTCAAGAATTCTTTAACTGGTCACTAGGAATAACTTAACTATTGTCTATTGTGACTTTCTGCATTATCTAAGTGATGTTAACTTTTATCAAACAGATACTTGGTAGAAGTCTTGCACTGATCTGGACTATGTGAGAAAAATGTGGTTTTGTCAGTTGGAAACGACGACACAGTCGGAAATGTTTAGTAATGCAACACAGAATCGGTCGTTTACACGGCATTTAGTTCTCGTGTTGTGGTTCTGTTGCCTTCATTATGTTGTTTTACATTTTCCTACATCCACTCGTTTTACGTATCTCCCTGATATTGATTTCACTTTGGGTGCAGCGACTACGAACTATGTGGGATTATACTAAGTTCTGTGTGAAATTTTCTCTATTTGCGCATTATATCTTACAGAACCATTCCATTCAGTTTATAGCCTTATTTCTGTCGTTCCTATTTCTGATTATTCACATCACTATACTTTGTTTTCTCATAATTTTGTGATGAAAGGTTTGAGATCATCAGTGAGATTAACACGCAGTCAGGATGTTTCTGAATCGGAAAATAAGGACAATCCTTCTTCGACAGGGTTAGCTGAACTGTTTCCTAGATGCGAGTCGGGAAAGCCTCCATCAGTTCACGATGTTATTGCGTTTTTATGCTCTAAAGGTAAGCAGATATTTTAAGATTGTTTACCTGTTGAAATATGAAGTGATTGTTTGACTTTTTCAAATTCATTCTACAGAGGCACGCTTAATGACATTGCTCCGTTGCTTTGTTTCTCATTCTAGAAGTTCGCTCTAAGTGCAAAACCTGGTGGCCGAAATGTGAAGATGAAAAGGACTCAGATACCGATGACCCTGCATCAAAGTGTTGGTTAATTCGGCTATCAGATTGACATCTTTGGAAACAACATAATTTAAATTATACCTTTTTCACATATATTTTCATCAGATGCTAAGGAGTGCTTGGAATTCATCCTATTTTTATTTGTTATTTTATTAGCTTTATGAATTTCCGTCAGTCCCATTGAATTATAACGATTTCAAATTATTAATTACATTTTAGAAAGAATATTTTTCGATTTTGTAAATGCACTTTAAGACCAAGAAGTGGTTAATTATAATAATAGTAATAATTATTATTCCTTTGGTCTGAAAGTGAAACATAGGGCTTCAACAGCACATTTCCACTTTGTCCTCTTTTCGATGGTGCTGTTTGGCTAGCCCCGCGATTATCCTCACATGATGTCTTCCATGTCACCCTCGTAAGCCCGAGTGGTTGTGTTGTATTGAGGCTTCACTCCAAGCCCTTACGCCCGATGTCATTCTGTGGTATCCTCAATGTGTGTTCGATCCGTCTCTATTTCCTTTATTAGTTCCTTCTCAAGGTTCCTTGTTGCTAATCCTTTCCGACTGGCCAGCATCAAGTCAGGAAAGACAGCTATTGATAATAGCCTGCAGCCTGTCCGAATTGGTTTTCCAGACGCTGCGAGTTTCTGAACCACATAGAGAAACTGACTCGATATTGGTGTCGAAAATCCGAATCTTGTTCGTTTTGCTTCGGGCAATCGATGTGCAGATTGATTTCAGAGTGATGAAGGTGTACCTTAACTATCTCGTATAACATCTTCATCTGTGATGCCTAGATAAGTGAAGAAAGTGACCTCGTTCAAATTTATTCCGTCAACAGTGATTGGTGCCCGTCGTTGTTGTTGCTTGGTTATCTTCATCACCTCCGTCTCCTCTACGTTTACTTGAAGTGCTATACTTGCTGCTTCTTCTGCCAACTTGTTGGTTTTCGCCTGTAAATCTTCGAGTCTTTGTGACACCAGACGTGAATCATCCACGAATTGCAAATCTCCTAGAGTCTTCTTATCGGCCCAACGCATTGCTGACTTCTCACTCCCCATAGTCTGTTGTATGATCCAGTGCACCACAGACAGGAGTATCTTGGGCGATAGTGGGCAACCTAGTCTTACTACTGTCTTCACTTCGCCGAGTTCTCCCTTGTGGATAACTTGGCATTTAACATTATTATATTTCTCTCGAATGAGCTTGATAAAGTCTTGAGGCACTTCTTAGTGTTGAAGCAGTTTCCAAATTACTTCGTCGTCAACACTGTCGAAGGCTGTTTCAGAGTGGATGAGGTTGAAATAGAGTATCGACTGTCGTTCTATGATCTTTTTAGTGGTGATGCGTAGAGTCGCAATTCGATCAGCACATGAGTTGCTTTTCATGAATCTAGGTTGTTCGGGTCGGAGATCTGGATCTGCAGTATCTTTTTCTCAATAAAATGACGTGACCTAATATTTTACTTGGTGTAGACAAGAGTGTGATTCCGGGCCAGTTCTTGCAAAGGCTTAAGTCTTTCTTCTTTGATAGTTTGACAAGGTAGCCCTTCTTCCCATCCTCAATTGCGTTTTGTTCCATTCAAACTTTTGCGATAGTCTTGTCTACACATCCACTGCTCTTCTCGATCAGTTTTCAGGGCTTCCGATGGAATTCCGTGCAGTCCTGCTGTCTTCTTGGCCTTCAGTAGCCTGATTGCTTCCAGGACTTCTACTTTTTTCGCAGGATTGGTGTCCACTGGAAGTTCTGTGCGTTGTGTTGTGATGTATTTCTGGATGGGTGGCAGGTGATAGTCGATTCAAGAGTTCTTTGGAAGTGATCAGCCCATGGCTTCTTTTGTTTGTCTTCTTTGGTAATTAGATTCCCTTGACCGTAGTTTATTGGTTTCATCTGTGTTGAACTCTTCCCGGGTAGGGACCTGGTTGCTTGATAGACATCACTTCCAGAGAGTTCCATGTAGGTTTCTTCAGTGATGCAAAGTAATGTCTTGGACTTCGCTACGATACATAAAACGAAGGTATCCTTTTTAGTTTTGTCCTTCAGTTTCTGAGTGTTGAATATGAATTGGGATTTAATTCCTGTTGCTTCGAAGGCCTTCAGCTTGACGTTGTAGTTTCGTCGCACTAGTTAAAAGTCCGAACCCACATTGTCTCCGCTTTTCGTTCTTGTATCTAGCAGACTGCATCTCTGCCTGCTTGACAATGCGATGAACTCATGCAGCCAGGTAAGAGCTTATGGCGAGTTGTCACTTGAAGTGGTGACAACTAGTGGTGTCCGTCAGGGATACGCACTGTCCCAATTTCTATTCAATTTCATTATAGATGTACTACTAGTAGACTTAACCCTAACTGACTTCAGAGACTCAAGGATGGACTTTTTATCAGGGAATAATCTCGTTGACTTAGAATATGCTGATGATATAGTCCTCCGCGCTAGGTGAAGGCACTGACAAAATGCAGAGTCTTCTGAACACTTTGAGCAGCAATCTGCGTGTGTTCGGCATGCAATTCGCTCCTGCGAAATGCGAGATGATGCTACGGGATTGGACTGAAATACATTGACTCCTAGCTTACAGGTATGTAGTGAAGTGGTAGAGCGTGTTGACCACCTCACTTATTTGGGAAGTTGCATCATCCCCAATGGGTCGATGACTGACGAAATCTCTGCACGGATACAGAAGGCTCGTTTAACATATTCCAACTTACTCCATATCTAGCGCTGTCGAACCAAGGGTGTGTGTACTGCTCAGCAATCCGCTCTATCCTTCTTTATGACTGTGAGCGAGACATGGCCATTGAGAGTGGAGGACAGGAAGAGGCCGGCTAGCTGTCTTTGATCATAGGTGTCTGCGTTCTATCTTCCGTGTGTAGTGGTAGATTAAGGTGAGCGATATTGAGGTTAGGCTTTGGTGGAGAGCTAGGTAAGGAGGGGAAATCAATGGATGAGGGTTGTGAAGTTACACCGATTGAGATGGTTATGACATGTGTTACGCATGCCTAGCCATCATCTCTTTTCTTCCTCAACAATGGGCAATGTTAGCTAGATGACATAGGATCAGGTTGGAGGAGACAGCTAGTGGTAGTCAAACTAAAACATGGCCTCATCAGGCAGCGAAGTTCACAACAGTGAGTTTAAGTCACATAGGAAGTTGTAGACCTGCTGGTTGGGTTCCTCGGGACGGTAAACACCAATAGCTGGAAACAATCGGTGATATGGCACAGTGGTTAGGACATGGAGTGTGGCGAGTAGAACTGCTGCACATCTGTGCAAAGTTCTCTGTTGAAGCCAGTCAGTTGGCGATGAAGTCCACCTGGCGTTTGTTGTGTCCGTCAGGTAAAATCCATGCCGCGTTGTATATATTCTTATGTTTGTGCATGCTACCTCAAGTCACTTAATGCGCGAAAGCCTGTGAAGAGATCTCCATTGTCATTCCTTTCGCCTCAGGACCCATTTGAATTGTCTTCTGTATTGTCTACTCTCATTTTAACATTCATGTCGATATTTGGCATGCTGTCGAGTACTGTTTTCAGTTGTCTATAGAACTCTTCTTTCTCTTCTTGTTCTGAGTTGTTTGTAGGCGCATAACTTTGAGTGATTGTAACTTACCTTCCTTTTGAGTCTAAATCCATTCCACCCGCTCTTTCAGATTTCTAGTTTTTCTATGCTGGATCTTTTCATTTGTTTGGAATCCTGGGAAGACTTCCCACTTTCATACATTGCACTTCCCGATGCTCCACCTTGCTCTCATCGAAAGAAGACACTTGGGCTAACTGGCTTTCAGAATGCTTTCACCAGCCCGCGTCATTTCGTCTCTCTAACTATATCGAAGAACAAGTTTATATTTATAGTGCTCCATTTGCCTGCCACCTGGACATATTTTTAGTATAGTTATCTACGGAGAGGGGGCGGAGATTGGCGTCAACTTGCAGCTCTGTCGTGCTTTCTTAGAGTTCTAAATAATCCGATAATTAGCAGGTCATGCTACCTGGATTGGCAATAAAAGCAGCAAATACATGACTTCAGAGATGATAATAATCTTCGATCAATAACAATGAACCCCAACCACCATAATTGAGAGAAGTTATTAAGAAGACATCTCTTTCACTTTCTCTGGCTAGGAGAAGCATAGTTTCAACTACACGTTAGCCTCTCGGAAGGTGATTTTCACACGATATATAAAGTAGATTTCCCTTGGTCTTGTCAGACATTTTCTTTGTAACCTCTTGGACGTATTCTTGAAAGGATTGGCGTAGTGGTTGATCTACATCGTGGATTGCATGAAGTCGTAAATAGACATTTCGTCCTAGTTCAGGAACACGTGATTGAATAGAATCAGTGTGGTTTAGTGTGTCTCTCCTGAGTGTTCTGGTATTTTCGGTTGTATGTGGTTTCGTCTGAGTGCTTTCCAGTACAGTTTTGGATACTCATGTCTATCTAAACATTCTGTTAAGAAATGTATCTTTGTCTTTGCCACTGCAAGCTTGATGGAGTAATTCAGGGGATTTTCCAGCTGCTTTACTTTCACAGCACTTCTCAGATTCACATGATGAGGATAGAAGGCTCTTATGGCTTGTGTTAATCCTTGCAAAGTATATCTCTTCAGAGATCTAACTTCTCTTTGAAAGCGTTCACCGATGGAGCTGATACTACTGAATCAGGTAAGGAGTTCCAGTCGTTGACCACTTTGTGAGAGAATCTAAATTCTGCACGTATTTTAATCGTCCTTGGTTTGAGCACCTTTTTGCGGTGACCCCGTAAATGTATCCTAGAAGGGGAGAAGAGGTTAGAAATGTCAGTTCCTAAATCACCCTTAAGTATACGGTATACTAAAATTAAGTCGCCCCTGTTCCTTCGGTATGATAATGGGAAGAGGCTTAAATGCTCCATCCTCTCATCATAAGGAAGGTGTGAGATACCACTAACTATTTTCGTTCCTACCCTCTGTACTCTTTCCAGGATATGTGCCTCCTTTTTGAAGCATGGACTCGCCGCTTGTATGCAGTATTCTAGATGAGGCCTGACATATGTTGCGTAGAGTACTCGAAAC